TACACTGCTCCGGGCCGCACTTTGCGGTCGAGTGGATGCAACCCCATGATGTAAGAAGTCCCTTGTGACTGCTCCTGTGTAAATGAAGCAGACAGTTTTCTCGCATGGTCCATTACGATCCTGGAATTGTACTGGTCTGTTTCTTTTCTCTCTATGCCTATCTCACACACCCTTCTCGAGTTCTGAACTTGGCTGGAGCTGGCCTCCAGACCCAGTGTGGAAAATCTCACTGTGCTGTGCAGTCAGGGGTAGTGTGCCCAGCTGTAACTCTCCCGTCCCTTAATTTAGAAGAATTAAGAATCCTATCAGCAATGCATCATGTTTCTGATTTCTTCCCATTCTTATCAGCACTGACTGTGTCTGGATAACAGCTGCTCTAACGTGTGGAGTGGTTTCTCACTGTGGTTTGGATTGCTTCCGCAAGGGCCAAGGAGGCTGAGCCTCTTCCTGTGCTCTCACTTGCACTTGTGTGTCTTCGGAGAATCGTCTACTCAAAGCCCGCAGCCATCTTCACTCAGCCTGCCTTGCTGCAGTGGAGCTGCAGTTCTTCATACGCTCTGGATTCTAACCTCTTGTCAGACATGATTTATAAATATTTTTCTCTCATTCCATGGATGACTTTTTAATTCTATTGCTAATGACTCAATACAAGCTTTTACTCTCAACCAACTTCCTTTTTCTTTTGTGTCTATGTCATATACAAGAAAAAATGCCAAGCCCAGCGTTGGGAAGGTCCCACAGGCTCCCCAGCCCAGCGTTGGGAATGTCCCACAGGCTCCCCAGCCCAGCGTTGGGAATGTCCCACAGGCTTCCTACAGCTTCAGCTCTTAGTGTGTTATGTCCTTGGTTAATTTTGAGATAGGGTTTGTATTAATTTATTTGGAAACGACAAAGAGGAGCAAGGGGAGAGATACATGTGCTGGTTCATGTCTCAAATGCAGCAGCTTGTGTGGGCCAGGCAAAAGCCAGCAGCCAGAGAACCAATCACAGCTCCCCGCACTTGAGCCTCCCCACTGCTTCCTTGGGTCTGCACTGGCCGCCAGCAGGAGTAGTCACTGAATTCTCTCCTACCCCCTAGGGGAAGCACCTGCTCCACTTCCCACAGTTCTGACACTTGCTTTTACTGCTGCTCCAATGACTGCAACAAAGTACGCTCTAGTTATCAAAGTCTGCTTTCTAATGCAACTGCAGAAACAAGAGTTAGTGTAGCATGTTTGAAATAGCTATTCTCCAGGCTGCTTGCAAAATTGGCCCCTCACTGGTGTTCTGGGAGGCTGGGCTTGGACAGGGTTTCCACAATCCCCCAAAGTATCAGTGCTTGGCTGGGCTAAAACTGTTAGCCCAAGCCTAGGGTATGTGCAGGCACGAAGATTCCACGTGAAAGACCCCAGCAACCTCAGGCTGAGTCTCCAGAGCACTTCTGGGCAACTCCCTGCCCTGCCGCGCTGCCCTGGGAAGGGGCCTTGGGCGCACACGCCGGGCTTTGCAGAGATGTCCCTCAAGTGTCATCCCCTTCACTAACTGTCCTTTCTACTCTACTGTTACAACAACCATGGCCATGAGTGCACTTACACACGGGATCATGCAAGTGCTGCAGGTAAATAACAAGCCTGGGTGGTCCTGGGACCCCTGCAAGGCAGCACTCAAGTATTATCATTACAGAATATGTTCCAATGACACCAGACCCTGTAGGACACTCTTTCTTGCAGTTAAATACTAGTCGAGACTTTGCATTTATTTACTTTGGGCCTTCATTTCTCCGGTACCTTTCAGCTGTCACTTGGAAAGCACTTCCCTACTTGTTAAAATATTCTGTCATGTCTAAATTCCTCAAAGTGAATCTCCCTAGAGTGACACACTTTCCTTTCGTATTGACACGGAGACAGATCTGTTCTACACGTCCTTCTGCGGAGTGGGGTGACATGCTGGCTTCTGTGTGAACTGAAGGCCAGGCGTACACTCTGCTCACAGGGAGGCTTCCCCACCTCTGCTCTTCACAGATTTTCAGCCTGGGTTTGGGTTTCCCGGCAGCTTCTCTCCAGTGCACGGAGTATTCTTTCTCGCCCTATTTTAGCTGTGAAAGGCTTCACTGAATTGATTTCAATAATTGTTTTTCATCTTTGAAAAACACTGCAACCACGATTTAGAAAGAATACTGTAAAAGGGCTAGTGTTGTGGCATAATACGTTAAACCACAGACTGCAATGCCAGCACCCAAGGGGCTGCCAGTTTGTGTCCCAGCACCCTGGCACCGGGCCTGGAAAACAGTGGAGAACAGCTCAGGCTGTGGGCACCTGCACCCAGGGCCGGATCAGGCTGTGCAGCCATTCAGGGAGTGAACCAGCACATGCAGGATTCATCCCAATCTCTGTAACTATTTATCAAATGAATACATCCTAATACATATTTATATAACTGTATATTATTTATATGTACTATACTACATACATATGTAATACATGTACTGTCTGCTCTATTTCCTTTCTCCTCTTTGGCCAAAACTCCAGTTGCAAATATTAGAGCTCCTGCCTGTATCTTCACAGTTGGCCTCAGGCCTGATCTCCACGCCCTCTGAATGCATCTTCCCGCCATCTGCCTGTATCTCTTCACGCCGTCTGGCTGTATCTTCACACTGTCTGCCTGTATCTTCACACCGTGTCCTGTATCTTCATGCAGTCTGCCTGTATCTTCCCGCCATCTGCCTGTATCTTCACACCGTCTGCCTGTATCTTCACGCAGTCTGGCTGTATCTTCACGCCATCTGCCTGTATCTTCACGCAGTCTGGCTGTATCTTCACGCCGTGTCCTGTATCTTCATGCAGTCTGCCTGTATCTTCACGCCGTGTCCTGTATCTTCATGCAGTTTGCCTGTATCTTCACGCAGTCTGGCTGTATCTTCACGCCATCTGGCTGTATCTTCACGCCGTCTGGCTGTATCTTCACGCACTCTGTCTGTATCTTCATGCAGTCTGTCTGTATCTTCACGCAGTCTGCCTCCCCTTGTACTATCTGTCCTTCCCCTCCCATATCCCCTCTGCACAGTGCTTTGACTACTTTCACTTCAACTAGCTATCACAAAACCAGAGTTTCCAATATTTACTTATTTTTTCTTTAATAGAACTTCATTTAAAAAAATTTTAACCCATCTACTGATATTCACAATCACATCTTTTGTGTCCTTGATCCAATATATCCGAGTCAGTTAGCTTTTCCTGAGGCAACAAATCACTTTCAAAACTTAGTAGCTTAGGATAGTAACCATCCCTGGGATCCTGATTCTGCTGGTTAGTGAAGGGCACCTGTGGCTGCTGGTCCGTGGGAAGGTGTGGGAAGGTGGATTCCTGGGTGTCTGGGCGGGGGCTGTCGGGGGAAAGGCCACGCATGTCCCTCAGGAGGCTGTGGGTGGGAAGGCCCTGTGTGTCTGCCAGGGAAGTGTCTGCTCTGCCTCATTAGGCCGCTGAGCTCTCTGCTTAGAAATGACAAAACTTCTCAAAACCACATTATGAAGAGCAGCCCAGCTCAAAGTGGGAGACCCCTGACCTGAAGAAGAAGTTGCAAAGAGGTCTGGATACAGAATAACTGCTGCTGTTTTTGCAAACAACCACAAGCAGGCCCGTGCTTTGCAGCAAAGTGGGCCTGGGAGACACGTGGACTCCAGTTTCTATTGTTAGTGCTTAAGCTGGGTTCCACTCATGAGACTGCACTATTTCTAATTACATACACAAATATAAAATAAACTAGCACATACAGAATTTCAGGCATAAATCATCTGAGGCCTAAAACGGCCCTCCTCCAGAGCACACTACCTGGCTGCACTGGTCCCTCATCAGCAGAGTGCAGGGCAGGGAGCCAGGCCTGACACTGGGGGACAGCCTCCGTGGGACTGTCTGTTTCTGGCTCAGCAGGACCCCCAGGGTGCAGCCCTCCGAGTCAGCACCGTGGCTGCCAGACGTCTGGCCTGGCCACAGCCCTCAGAAGGCCCTCCCCAGCTGCTGCCCCCCGCACGAGGCCCACATCTCGGGAATCTTCTCTGCCCTGGCCTCTCACTTCCTCCAAGCAGCCTGTTGCCATTTACTCAGTTGTTCTAGCTGTCTTGGTGGAAGGCTGGTTTCAATTCCCTCAAAATCTATAACTGAGAGCAGAAGTTGCTGTTGACTTTTTTTAGGAAGGGATTCTGTGGACACATGCGTGTGCACACACACACAGTCACAAATGTGCGCACGCACACACACAGATGCACACACACACACGCTCACACACGCACACACACACACCACTCCTAGCTGTGGATTACTTTCAGACATGGAGCCTACTCTTCTCTAAGCAGCAATGCTCATCTAATACAGCAGGTCCCGAAAGACCACAAAGCTCCCACCTTGTTTGCTCTGGTGAGCCACTAGCCACAAGCAGATGTTGAAGGACCCCTAAAAAAAGGCCCACAGAGTAAGGGATCTCTTGGCAGCCACGATGTAAATAAGTCATCTTAGGGGCAGAGCCACCAGTTCAAGTCCCCGCTGCTTCTCTTCCAACCCAGATGCCTGCTAACGCACTGGGAAAACAGACGAAGATGGTCCTAGTCTTTGGGCCTCAGCATCCCCAGGGGAGAACCAGACGGAGTCACAGGTCAATGTGTAGTCTGGGAGGTGGCCGATGATAGAGACCAACGTGTGAGACCCAGAGTTCCTGGCTCCTGGCTCTGGCCTGGAAAGCCCCACTGCTGTGGGCGTCAGGGAATAAATAGCAAACGGATCTTTCTGCTTCTGCCTCCCATCTTTCAAATGAAAGAGAAAAACCAAGACTGCAAAGCCCCCCTGGAGGCCCCTCCCAAATCCTGATGTGTGAGATGCCAGTCAGGTGTAAATTCTGCACTGACAGAAGAGATGCTCTACATTTTATAGCATTACCGTGTAAATTTAAACTTAACATTGCTTACATGAAAATAAAATAACAGGTTAACACTGGAAGCAATACTGAATGCATAGAATGGTCCACTCGCCTCCTCACTGCCTCCTGGGGGCCTCGCGGGAAGCCGAGCTCTGGAGCTTGGAGGAAGTCATCTCCACGATCGTGCTGATGGACAGGCCGTTGAGGAGGCCACAGCGGTCCGCGCGCACGGCCTGCAGCGCATCCAGGAGCTGGTCCCTGTGGAAGACACGCGTGACACATGGCCCACCCCAGACGACACACGTGACAGCCGGCCCACTCCAGACCACACATGTGACACCTGGCCCACCCCAGACGACACACGTGACAGCCGGCCCACTCCAGACCACACACGTGACACATGGACAGTTCCACACACATGTGACACCAGGCCCACTCCAGGCCACACATGTGACATGTGGACAGTTCCACATATGTGACACCCGGCCCACTCCAGACCACATATGTGACACCCGGCCCACCCCAGACCACACACGTGACACCCAGCCCACCCCAGACCACACACATGACACATGGACAGTTCCACACACATGTGACACCGGGCCCACTCTAGGCCACACACGTGACACCCGGCCCACTCCAGGCCACACACGTGACACCCGGCCCACTCCAGGCCACACACGTGACACCTGGCCCACTCCAGACCACACATGTGACAGCCGGCTCACTCCAGACCACACATGTGACAGCCGGCTCACTCCAGACCACACACGTGACACCCAGCCCACGCCAGACCACTCACGTGACACCCGGCCCACTCCAGACCACACATGTGACACCCGGCCCACTGCAGATCACACATGATACCCGGCCCACTCCAGATGACACGTGTGACACCTGGCCAAGTTACTCAACTAGACTTACACATATAAAGCTCACATGCAAGTAGCTATTACCTACTGACTTCTGGATGCAGCTCAGCCAACTTCCTCATGATCTTGGTAAAGCTGCGAAGGTTCAAGGTATTGGGAGGTATAAACTGCACGGGGATATGAGGAGCTGACTTAGCAGACTCAATCTGCCTGCAGTTCTTCTTGACCTGCTATGAACGAATGAACAGAGGAGTAAAGGTGGAGAAGCTGACAAACTGACAGATGATTCAAAGAACCTGAAGTTTAATAGAGAAGGTAAGGTAACAGGCCCTGTTCACACCGTCACTCCCAGGCAATGCCTGCCTTCCACGGCGCAGCACAGCCTCAACCCACGCCTTCCACGGTGCAGCATGGCCTCAACCCACACCTTCCCACGGTGCAGCACGGCCTCAACCCACGCCTTCCCACGGCGCAGCACGGCCTCAACCCACGCCTTCCCACGGTGCAGCACGGCCTCAACCCACGCCTTCCCACGGTGCGGCGCGGCCTCAACCCACGCCTTCCCACGGCGCAGCACGGCCTCAACCCACGCCTTCCCACGGTGCGGCGCGGCCTCAACCCACGCCTTCCCATGATGCAGTGTGCCCCCTTTATGTCACCCACCTGTCAAGGCCATGGCCATGGCCCCAACACACTGAATCATTGTCTGCTAAGCTAAAGAACATAAGCTGGCTCAGTTAGGTTTGCTATCTAAACGAAGTGCAACTATAACAAATGAATGGATCAAGTAATCACAGGTTCTTGAATTGAGAATAGTTAGAATTTTCAAAAACTGTACAATTTTTAAAATTATTATTATTTTATGATACAGTTCCATAGGCTCCTGGCATTTCCCATATCCCCTCTCCAACCCCCCTCCCACTTTCCCCTATATCACTACACAAGTACAGTTCTTCATACACAGTCATATGTCCATCACTGCAGACATGGACAATGGCAGAGTCCAGCATACTATTGTCAAGATATACTAAACAGTTTCATTGTAAGTCCACCTTTGTCTGGAAGTAGAGATGCATACTACATTGTATCCTCACATCTGGATATGTTAGTCTCCATTTCACAGTCTGTACATCCCTTAAATGAAAAGTCACAATACGAAATCAACAATAAGAATAAAAATAGGAATTTACAATGCCATGAAGTTGAGTAACATGACTACATATGACAGTCTCCATTACACAGCTACTATACATCCCCGTAAATGAAAAACCACAAAACAATATCAACAGGAAGAAAAAAGAAATTAACAATGCCATGAAGTTAAATAACGTGCTACTGACTGATTAATGTGTCGCTGAAGAAATGAAATAGAAAGTCAAGAACCTTCTTGAAGAAAATGATGCCACTGCATGATCTATGAGTCACTGAATGATTTAATCATAAGAAGCTGTTTTGAAACTAACAGAAACAAAACCATCAAAATCCGTGAGACATAGCTTTTGCTGATTTTTATTGGTGAAGTGTGTCTCTTCTAGAAAATAAATAGATGGGTTTTGTTTTTAATCCAATCTACTAATCTATGATGTTTGATTGAGCTTAAGCCATTTACATTCAGAGTTAAATATACATGGGTGGTACTTTGGTCCTGTCATTTTAGGAATGGGTTGTTCATTGATTTAGTCTTCTGTTGTCATTCTACTGGGATATTCTTCCCGTTTGCCTTTGGTTTTGGTGGGTGCTATTCCTCCTCTCTGTCAAGAGAACATCTTGAAGTATCATTTGTAGGGCAGGCTTGGAAGAGGCATATGCTTTTAACTTTTCTTTACTGTGGAAGATTTTATTTCATTTTCAAAGACAAAAGAAAGCTTTGCTGGATATGTTATCCTGGGCCGACAATTTTTTTCTTTTAGAATCTGGAATATGTCACTCCATTCTCTTCTTGACTGTAGAGTTTCCTGTGAGAGATCTCCTGTGAGTTTAATTGGCCTTCCTTTATATGTCAGTTGGATTTTTTCACATGCACATTTAAGGATCTTTTCCTCATGTTTGACTGGAGAGAGCTTGATTATCATGTGTCATGGTGAAGATCACGTTTGGTCAAGCCTGTTGGGAATTCTGTGCCCCTCCTGGATCTTGTTTCCCAATTCTTTCTCTAGATTAGGGAAGTTTTCTCTTATTATTTCATTAAATGCATTTGCAAACTCAGCTTCTCTTTCTGCACCTTCTACGACTCCCATAACTCACAGTTGCCCTTTTAATAGTGTCTTTCAATTCTTGAATATTTTTTTTGCCTGCTCCAGCTCTGCTTCCAGCTTTTTGTTTGCTTCCCCCAATGACAGGAAATATCTTCCAATCCTGAGATTCTTTCTTCTTCCTCCTTCATTCTACTTTGGAGACTCCACTGTGCTTTTAATTGGCCCTACTGTGTTCTTCATTTCTGATACATCAGCTTTCATTTGATTCATTTCCTGTGTGACATGTTCCTTAAATTCCTTGAACTTCTGTTTTATGTGCTTCTCATTGTTGATAAGAAGCTTTATAATGAGTTTTCTGAATGCTGTGTCCCCCATTTTCCCGATGTCTTCCGCAGTTAACTCTGAGGTTGGCATAGGGTTTTGCTCCTTTGCAGGGGAGTCTTCAGTAATATTTTTTGTGCCTTTGTGTCTTCTTTTGCTCTTGGTCATTGTACTTCTGGTTAGCAGAGTCTTCTCCTTGGGGCAGTTTCTAAGCTGTGTCACCCACAGGTCTACAATTCAATTTTACTTATTGCAGTTGGTACAAGGTTCTTTGTAGTCACCTGTGCCACTCCCTTCAGCAAGTTCCATGTATGGGTTCTTATGTTAGATTTCCACCATGGTCTTTGTAGTCTCAGCTCCTGGTTCACCAGTCTCCACCTCTTGTGAAACTGTGCTGAGGCTGCACTGTTGTCTCTGCAACCTTTCTCCCACTTCCAGTTGAAGCAGGGCCCCGGATTGTGGAGACACCGCGTATCCTATATTGCTAGGTTGCTGGTGGCACTGATCTTGCCAGAACCTGCTGGACATTTAGTCTGGGTGCCACACAGACCTATTTTGACCGGTATGATGCCACAGTAATATTTTCCTGTGGTACCAGCGCAATCCACTGAACTCAGTGAGTTCTCGTGAGCTCAGCATATGTTGTACACTGTTGTCCCCTGCGGACACATTTTGTACACTTTTGCCATAGTGTACAAAATGGCTCCTGACCTACCACTGCTAGAGCTCTTGATCTGCTGTCCGTCAGGTCTAAGGGCTACCCAGACCTGCCCCGGGTCGAACCTGTAGGAATATGCCACTGCTCCGTTCCCCGAGTCTGAAATGAGTTCACTCCCAGCTCAGCGCATGCTCAGTCTTTTCTCTTGCCTTTGCCACCTTAGGCAAAATGGGCGCATAATTTGGCTCTAGGCAGCTGACTGGGCTGCAAAATCCTCCCTGTTCTTACACTCTCTGGGATCTGCTGCTCTGTCTCTGCTCCTGGTCAAATCAAATGGACCAGCAGGAGGACAGTTCTTTGTCTGGGTTCACCTTCCAAACTCCCAGTGAAAGTCCCTTCCCTCCTGGTTGCTGGTGGAATTATGGCTGCTGATGGAGGTCAGATTGCCATTAGCTGAATGCTGCTGGAGTATCAGTCACTGCAACACCACACCATTGTTTTCGCTGCTTTCCCGCGTCTGTCAGTCTCCAGGTTCCCCTCTGCTGTTGTTCTGTCCTCTTCTATTATCCTGGAATGTTTCCCGGAATATTTCTCTTCCGGCCTCATCCTGATTAAATGTTTCTCCGTCCATTTAAACGTGTCCTTACCCTATTCCGCCGTCTTTATTCTCAAGAATAGTCAGAATTAAGCAAAACAAGCCAAACGGGAAGAGAGCAAGCAGAGGAAAGGCGGGCGCAGAGCTGAGGAGGGGAGAAGCTCGCAGGGCCACAGCGCTTCTGGGAGGCCGGTGCTGCGCTCTGTCCCTGCTCCTGGGATTAACCGAGTGTTACTCAGATGGAAAAATTCCAACATCAGCACAGTGACACGTGAGAACCTGAAGCAGTTACTTGGACCAGGATAAGCTGGCCTATGAACTGAGCTTCTCGGGCGGAACTCTGCCCTTGGGAAGTTAAAATACAGGACAAGTTAGAAATGAAAGATCAAGAGAAAATCTGTGCGGCTGCCATGGCAGCACATCGGGCTATGCCAGTGTTCCTGACTCTGGCATCCCATATAAAGTGCTGGCTCAATTCTATTTTTAAAAAGAAAACTGGGCCTGCTGCGGTAGCCTAGTGGCTAGATCCTCCCCTTGCTCGCTCTCGGATCCCATGTGGGACCAGTTAGTGTCCCAGCTACTCCACTTCCCATCCAGCTTCTTACATGTGGATTGCAAAAGCAGCAGAGGATGGGCCAAAGCCTTGGAACCCTGCACCTGCATGGAAGACCTGGAAGAGGCTCCTGGCTCCTGGCTCAGCTCAGCTCTGGCTACGGCAGCCACTTAGGGAGTGGATCAGTGGATGGAGGATCTTTCTCTGTCTCTCCTTCTCTCTGAAAATCTAACTTTCCAATAAAAATAATAAATAAACCTTAAGAAAAGAGAAAAACCTTTTTGTACACTGATTTGAAAGACACAGAGAGAGAAGCAGTGTTGTGTGTGTGGGTTCGCTGTGCAAACGGCTTCAGCAGCTGAAGCTGGGTCGGGGGAAGGCTGGGAGTCAGGAACTGTGCTGGGTCTACCACTCGGGTGACCCAAGCCCTCGGGCACCTTCGGGCTGCCTTCCCAGGCCCTGGAAGTTTAGGGTGATGGAACAGCTTTAACCCGGCGTGCCACGGTGCCTGCCCCTCAGAGAACAGGTGCAGGAGCAGGAGGCTCAGTGCTCGACTACGAGCAGGGAGAGGCCTGCACTGGACGCTGACGGCTTAGAGAAGGAACGTGACTAAACAGCCCTGGGGGCACTGTGGGGAGGACATGGCTACAAGCTCCCCTCGCAAGGCAACCTGCAGCTTCAGTTATTAAATAAACTCATATTCTCTCAGCTCTTATTTCAGGGGAATTAGGTTGATCTGTAGATTCAGAGTAATTCAAATAAAATTCTAAGCAGGATTCTTTTTTGGGTCTAAACAAGTTGAAGTATAACATTTAAACATAAAAGGTGGGGCCGGCATTGTGGTGTTGCGGGTGAAGCCCCCCGAGAGGTTTGCATCCCACCTGGCAACTGGGTCCCATCTGGCTGCTGCACCTTAGTTCCCTGCCTACAGCCCGGGGAAAGCAACAGAAAATGGCCCGACGCCTAGGCAGCCATCACCCTTGTGGGAGACCTGAAGAAACTGCCTTCAGCCTGGCCTAGCCCCGCCACTTCGGCTCTCCAAGGAGTGAATCAGAGGATGAAAGATCTTTCTCTCTGTGTGTGTACAATTCTGCCTTCCAAATAAAATTAAATAAATCTCAAAAATGTATACCAAAAATCAGAGAGACCAGAACAGCCAGAACAATGTTGATAAAGAACACGGCGGATGCCTTCCACCTCATCCTAAGACTTCCTCTGCAGTAACGACCAGGACTGCATGGACATGCAGAAGGACAGATAAACAGACCCCGAGACCCCACGGACACGGTCAGTGCAGCCACCTGGACCCCATGGACACGGTCAGTGCAGCCACCTGCAGCAGCCTGGACCCCACAGACACGGTCAGTGGAGCCACCTGGATCCCATGGACACGGTCAGTAAAGCCACCTGCTACATCCCAGGACCCCACGGACACGGTCAGTAGAGCCACCTGGACCCCATGGACACGGTCAGTGCAGCCACCTGCAGCAGCCTGGACCCCACAGACACGGTCAGTGCAGCCACCTGGACCCCACGAACACAGCCATTGGAGCCACCTGCTACATCCCAGGACCCCACAGACACAGCCAGTGGAACCATCTGCTACAACCAGGACCCCACAGACATGGTTAGTGGAGCCACCTGGATCCCACGGACACAGTCAGTGCAGCCACCTGCTACATCCCAGGACCCCATGGACACAGTCAGTAGAGCCACCTGGACCCCACGAACACAGCCATTGGAGCCACCTGGACCCCACAGACATGGCCAGTGGAGCCACCTGCTACAGCCTGATCCCCACGGACACAGTCAATGGAGCCACCTGCAGCAGCAGCCTGGGACCCCACGGACACGGTGAGTGAAGACACCTGGGCCCCATGGACATGGTCAGTGCAGCCACCTGCAGCAGCCTGGGACCCCACGGACACGGCCAGTGGAGCCATCTGCTGTAGCCTGGGACCCCATGGACATGGTCAGTGGTTCCTGACCAAAGCACAATGCACTTCAGTGTCAACAGGGCGGCCTCTTCTTCAGTGATACAGAAACAATCCAGAGGAAACACAGAGACATTGAAGCAAACAACTCAGAGACAACAGGCAGGAATGGACTGGAGCCTCAGTAACGGGCAGCGTCTGGCGCAGCGTTCAGGGTCACTCCCCACCGGAGCACCCAGGCTCTGGTTCCAGCTAGCCCAGCCTCAGTCGTCACAGGCACCTGGGGCATGAACTAGCAGGTGGGAACATTGTCTCTGAACTAAACACTTAAAACTCATTGTTACTCTGAGTTATTCAAAGATTTATTAGCAATATCACTACAATCTTAAGTTATAAAGAAAAAGTGATGTTATATCATTAAAGTTAAAAATTCCTGGGGTAGGTATGTAGCATGTAAGTCAGGATGCCATCTGCTGTAAGCCATGGCACTGCATTCCAGGCTGGGCACCTGGTCACGTCACAGCCGCCCTGCTGCTGCTCCAGGTGACAGGCCAGGCTGAGTGCCTGGTCACGTCACAGCCGCCCTGCTGCTGCTCCAGGTGACAGCTCAGGTTGGGTACCTGGTCACGTCACAGCCACCCTGCTGCTGCTCCAGGTGACAGGCCAGGCGGCAGATCAGCCTCCTGGCTGCTTGTTCTGCTCTAGCCTAGCCCTGGGTGCTGTTAGCATCTGGGAAAAGAAGTAGAAGATGGAAAATTGACAGACCACTCTCCTACTCTGCCTTTCAAATAAATCAAAACAAAAACTCCAGCTTTGAGAAAGGTACAAGCTGAGAAAAGCCATGCGGAGACCACATATTTTCTGATAAAGAAATCATTATCTGAAAAAATGTTTAATTTCAGTAATTATAAAGAAATGGAAAAAGGGACAAAATATGAACAGGTGACATGCTAACACACACAAAAGCAAGCGAGCCAGAGCAAGGGCTGCATGGGGCATGTAGGCAAGGAGACGAGGCTGACCACGACAGAGGCTGTGGGACACAGAACTGCTGGACCTTGGTTGTGGTGGTGGCTACTGCCTATATGCACTTGTTGGAGACACCCAACAGAATATTTTTTGCATTAAATTTTCAGGAGCCGTGTGGAATCCGAGGTAATCACTGGGCATTTTGCTGAGCACTGGGGTGAGAGTGAACAAGACTAACTACTTTTTACCAAGTGTTTAACGTCACTGAATTGAACTCGAAGGCATACGGATGCTAACAAATTTTTAAAATATATATTTATTTTTATTGGAAAGGCAGATATATAGAGAGGAAGAGAAACAAAGAGGAAGCTCTTCCGTCTGATGCTTCACGCCCCAAGTGACCACAATGGCCAGCGCTGCACCAATCCAAAGCCAAGAGCCTCTTCTGGGTCTCCCACGCGGGTGCAGGGTCCCAAGGCTTTGGGCTGTCCTTGACTGCTTTCCCAGGCCACAAGCAGGGAGCTGGACGGGAAGTGGAGCTGCCAGGATATGAGCCAGCGCCCTTATGAGATCCTGGCGCGTTCAAGGTGCCAAGCCCTGGTGCTAACACTCTGGTGACAAGCTGTGAAAGACAGTGACACGTCCCTTCCCCCTTATGGAGCACTGCTCTGCAAAGGACTGGTAAAGGAGGCGTCCCTGTCAGCTAGACCCATACAGACCTGGAGGTCTTCACCCCATCATCCTGGAGCAACTGGAGGTGTGTAAACAACCAGTCAGAGTGAGGATCCACAGTGGGATCACTTACTGCACAAAGCAACCTAGCAACAGGAGCACTCACCTGGGCCAGAGGGCAGCACTCGCTGTCCGGCTCGGCTCCCGTCGGCCGCGGCCTGCTTCTGGGCAGGCTGGAGGCACAGGGCACTGAACCAACTCCTCCGTTGGGATTTTTCTCTGAACTCGTCAAGCTGACTCTGTCCCCATGCTGGGAGGACAGTGGGGACGTGGGATCCCCGGGAGTTTTGACAAGCCGCACACTGACGAATTTGCCATTTATTTCCGTCCCGTTCATTTCCTTCACAGCCATCTTGGCATCATTGTTTTTCTTAAAAGCCAGAGATGCATATCTGCAATCAAAAGCAGAAAATCAACCAGCTCTTCGTGAACACATTCAAATTACTTCACACTAAATTTTGTAATTACTGGCTAAAATATCACAGGAGTATCTACTCTTAAAAATTAAAAAGGTTATTTTTACTAAGAAGCTTTAGGAAAATTAAAGCTAAACTAAACATAGGAAATAAGAGCTAGTACATATCTATGATTATTTAATAATCTCTTCAGTTTGTTTCTCAAGGCAGAGAAGGAGCAGGTGCAGAGTTGGGGAGGAGAGATGCTGTTCCTACTGCCTGGATGGCCGCAGTGGCTGGGCATCTGGAGCCCAGACCATGTCCCCACAGGAGGCGGGGACCTGCCACCTGCGCAGCCCACAGGAAGCACAAGTCCGGAGCGGGGGACATAAACCCAGCGACTCCCCTTGGAGTGCAGTTGCTCCTTGGCACTGCGATTCCTGGGCCAAACGCCTGTCCCGACTTCCCTTCACTCGCCCATCGGCAATGTTGAGCACATAGCCCTACAAAGGCCAGTGGGCTAGACGACTAGCTAGCTCCACAAACACTTAAAATGCATTCCTTTACACAAACGTGTATACTCCAAAGGACTAAATGTGAAAAGCAAATTTTAAGAACATACAGCATAACAGTATGCTGTTTTTATAACTTATAACAAGAAAACATTGACCAAGACCAAAGTTTGACTTTTAACCAAAAAACTGAGTTGGGCAAGAATTACTCTACAAACCACCAGTGCTAGACAGCTGAAGCGCATTTCCAAACAAACCATCACAGTTTCCTTGTATTTTATACTTCTAAATTTCCACATGGAATGTGCAACACTTCAGCAAGAAAAGAAGTTTCTAAGACAACCTTTCACATCAGGTAATGCTCCTGGGGCTGTAACGCTGCTTTAATATAGCTGAACCCGTCAATCTCACATAAAAAAACAAATAAAACAGTGATCAAAACTTGAGAGTAATAAAAACAAATACCTATTTATAACATATTCCAATACCAATGACAATTAGGGCTATTTAAAAAAAAAAAAACGTTTTACTGGAATGGGGAGGGAGAGAGGGAGGGGTCCTGGTGTCCCCATTTGCTGCCGCCAGGGTATGTATTAACATGCAGAGAAAGGCGAGTGGTCAGGACTCAGAACAGGTGCAAGTGAGACGGGAGGCCCATGCACCGAGGTCTGCGCACAGCTGTCGCTTTTAATGATATGGAAGTGCTGGCATTTTCACAACAGGATCGCCCTTGCTGTTTGATACTTTTGGATGAGCTGGCAATGTCAGCAAATCAGAAGTGACTATAAATGCTGCCACGAAACACTGAAAGCCAACCACTAACCAATAATTAAATGCCATGTTCAGGACCCAGCCCTGAAGGAGCGGGGAACGAGCCAGCCACTTGCGCAGGAGCCCACCCTCTGAACTGGCACACCCCACTCACTTCCCCTATGAAGTGATCTGTAATAAGTACCCAGCATGTCCTCACTATACCAGTAAGTTACAGCACCAGTTCCTGACTGTTCCCTGCCTGGCGGAGCGGCCCTGACGTGGGGGGCTAACACAGCCCCCGGCCCGCCACCCGACGCACACAGCGGGAGGCACACTTACGGAGCTTGGGATGCATACCTGTAATCAGAAGAGTCATCAATTGAAATTTCAGAAACTTGGTACTTCTGGAAATAAGACCTTAAATCAGCCTAAATGAAGACAAAGAAATGCTTGGAAAGGTTAGAAAAAGTAATAAGACAATTTTAATATTTAAAAATGAAGCTGAACAGAGGGACCCTGGCCTACCTCAGAGACTGAAGGGCAGAGACCTCCGACGTGTATTAGAAAACCTCTGTCTCTCCCAGCTGGCTCAGCAGCCTTCATTTCTGCTTACACAAATGCATAATACACAACATACATGGTCATAATTCTACACATTTTAGGGGAACGTGACAAGTATCATACATTCATTTTATTCAATCATGGCAAATCTTACTACAGTGATTACACTAAACACCAAGAGCCTGGAAGTTTTAGGATTTTTGCATTTTGGGCCTGGCATGGTAGCCTAATAATTAAAAGTCCCTGCTTTGCATGTGCCAGGATCCCATATGCGTGCCAGTTCCCATCCAGCAGCCCACTTTGCACCCTGCTCCCTGCTTGTGGCCCGGGAAGGCAGTAGAAGTTGGATCAAGGCCTTGGGACCCTGCACCCGTATGGGAGACCCAGAAGAGGCTCCTGGCTCCTGGCTTCGGATCGGCTCAGCTCTGGCCATTGCAGCCATTTGGGGAGTGAATCAGTGGATAGAAGATCTTCTTCTTTGTCTCTCCTTCTCTGTATATCTGACTTTCCAATAACAATAAATAAATCAAGACTTTTGGATCTTAATCATTTCATCTTGAAGAGGTTGACATTCAGTCTTTTTTTCCTTTAGGTTTATTTATTTTTATTGGAAAGGCAGATATATAGAGAGGAAGAGAAACAAAGAGGAAGCTCTTCCGTCTGATGCTTCATGCCCCAAGTGACCACAATGGCCAGCGCTGCACCAATCCAAAGCCAGGAGGCGGGAACTTCTTCTGGGTCTCCCACACAGGTGCAGGGTCCCAAGGCTTTGGGCCATCCTTGACTGCTTTCCCAGGCCACAAGCAGGGAGCTGGATGGGAAGTGGAGTAGCTGAGATTAGAACCGGTGCCCACATGGGATCTTGGAGCGTTTAAGGCGAGGACTTTAGCCGCTAGGCCACTGCTCTGGGCCTGATATTCAGTCTTCTAATGGATGCACAAATGCTTGCCCACAATTTCTTTTGGCTCAAACATACATCACGAGGCCTGCCAGAGCTGAGGCAGCCACCCCACTGTCTGAGAAGTACCACCCAGAACATGGGTGCCCAGAGGAAGAGGCAGCACCCAAGTCCCAGTGGCAACGCTAGCCAAAGCTCAGAGTCCGAGAGCTTTCTTTACCCCTTTCCCTGCTGGGAACACACACCGAGAAAACCTTCACACCAGGCCGCTCGCAGTGTGTCAGAAGTGTGTGTGAGGATGGTATGCTCATGTGCGCACAGGCGGGACGACCTGGCTTACACAGCACAACTTGGGAAACCACAATGCTAGGGCGACAGATACATGTTCCTTAGTGTTTATAAAAAGTCGTATAATGAGAAAGGTACAGTGTGAGAGAGAGAGCACACAAGCACACTTCCTTTCACTGGTTCATTCCCCAAGCAGCTGTAACTGCAAGGGCTGGCCAGGCCCGTCCGAGAGCCTGCAACTCCACCTGGGTCTCCCACATGGCCGCGGGCCCCAGCGTCCAGGCACAGCAACAGAGACGGACTGGAAGGGGAGCACTGGGCCTGAAACCAGGGCTGTATGAGCTGGCCGCACCACAGGTGGGGCTTCACCGGCGGCTGCACAGCTCTGGTCCTACAGATACATACTCTTTCTTACTTGTTAAAACAAACAAAACAAAACATTTTCCTGAAGACAAAACTTTTGTGAAGAGAAGCTAACCTAAAATTAGAAGGCATCCACTGAATAGAATTCCAATTATTACATAATTCTATACCTAGTACACATGGAGGGGTGGAAATGGATGGATAAAAATTGATCCGATGTAGTCTCTGTGTAAGTTCTGCTCATATGTTTCATCATTCTGCTAAACAACAGCGGAGCAGCTTCACAGTGGTGAATGCTTCTCGCGGCCAGGCGCGCACGCAGCAGCACGCCCCTCATCCAGGTCCTTCCCCCACGCACCCCACCCCGAGGCCGCGGGGCTCTGCTGGCTCATGAGGACGTGGACGCCTCAGGAGTTCAGGCCCAAGTCTGAGCAGTGGCAGCACAGCTCAGGCAAAGCCCTGCATCTCCAGGGAAGAACACTCATTTACTAGCATTCTGACTGGAACATATTCTATAGAAAAAACAATGAAATGATAGCTTCTATTTTTACACCAGAGTGAGGAAGGAGTAAAAAATGACATTGCATGAGGCGAAACCCACGCGGCTTTCCATGTGCATCTTGAAGACTCCTCGGATGCTTGGTTTTCAAATATTTTTGCACCAAAATAAAACCTTTAATTCCAGTTCCCATCAACTTTTTGAAGTAGCTTCCTAGCTAACACAGGGATAACAGGAAGCCATGCAACCCACCTGCTACCTCTTCCTTCACTAGTTCAACAGAGTACCTGCTAATCCCTCGGGGACTGGACACTGTACCCGGTCCTAAAGACAGGCAGTGCATAAAAACTGTGCACACTAAATCCTGACCCCACTGAGCCACCACTTGGGTGCAGGAGAACAATCCAGAGATAAAGTCAGGGCCCAGCACAGTAGCCTCGGGGCTAGTCTTCGCTTTGGATGCACCAGGATCCCATTGGGGGCTGGTTCATGTCCCAGCTGCCCCGCTTCCCATCCAGCTCCCTGCTTGTGGCCTGGGAAAGCAGTAAAGGATGGCTCAAAGCCTTAGGACCCTGCACCTATATGAGAGACCTGGACAAAGCTCCTGGCTTTTGATCAGCTCAGCTCTAGCCGCTGCAGCCACTTGGGGAGTGAACCATTGGATGGAAGATCTTTCTCTCTGTCTCTCCTTCTCTATGTATATATGACTTTCCAATAAAAAATTAAAATAAACAAATCATTTTTTAAAAGATAGAGATGAAGTCAGTAAAATATGCAGCATGAAGTGATATGGAAAAAATATTCCTGGAAAAAATATGACAAAAAATGATGTAACAATATTTATTTCAAATTCTATTTATGTGAAATATATCTTATAGAAACACACAAAAAATAGCATTAGCAATGTAGCTCAACAGACTAATTCTCCACCCTGTGGTGCCAGCATCCCAGATGGGTTCCACTTCTGATCCAGCTCCCTGCTCATGGCCTGGGAAAGTGACAGAGGATAGTCCAAGTCCTTTGGGAGTCCAGAAGAAGCTCCTGGCTCCTGGCTGCAGCTCAGATCTTGTAGCGGCTTCGGGAGTGAACCAGCAAATAGAAGACCTTCTCTCTATCTTGCCCTTTCATGTAAACCTAACTCTCAGATACAAATAAAAAAATTTAAAAAGCACATAAAAGAATGGTCAGTAAAATACTCATAGGTTATACAAACGTGGAGATACTTCAAATAATTTAGATTTTTGTATTTTCTACTTTACTTAAACTGTCTGTCCTGCTGGTCCATTTGATTTGACCAGGAGCAGAGACAGAGCAGCAGATCTCAGATGGCTTGTGCAAGAACAGGGTGGATTTTATAGCCCAGTCAGCCCCCTAGAGCCGAACTGGGCGCCATTTTGCATAAGGAGGCAAGGGCAAGGGAAAGGATTGAGCATGTGCTAAGCTGGGGGTGAGCTCATTTCTGACTCGGGAAACTGCAACAACATGGCATTCTACAGGTTCCACCCGGGGCAGGTCTGGGTAGATCTCGGATCTGAAGGCCAGCAGATCAAGAAGTGTAGGCCAAAAAAAGTATTCAAGAATTGAAAGACACTATTAAGAGGCCAAATATAAGAGTTATGGGAGTCCCAGAAGGTGCAGAAAGAGAAGCTGAGTTTGCAAATGTATTTAATGAAATAATCCAAGGAAAATTTCCCTAACCTGGAGAAAGAATTGGAAAGGAATATCCAGGTGGGGCACAGAACTCCCAACAGGCTTGATCAAAAGTGATCTTCACCACAGCATATGATAATCAAGCTCTCTCCAGTCAAACATGAGGAAAAGATCCTTAAATGTGCACGTGAAAAAAACCCAACTGACATATAAAGAAAGGCCAATTAAACTCACAGGAGATCTCTCACAGGAAACTCTACAATCAAGAAGAGAATGGAGTGATATATTCCAGATTCTAAAAGAAAAAAATTGTCGGCCCAGGATAACATATCCAGCAAAGCTTTCTTTTGTCTTTGAAAATGAAATAAAATCTTCCACAGTAAAGAAAAGTTAAAAGCATATGCCTCTTCCAAGCCTGCCCTACAAATGATACTTCAAGATGTTCTCTTGACAGAGAAGAGGAACAGCACCCACCAAAACCAAAGGCAAATTGGGAAGAATATCCCAGTAGAATGACAACAGAAGACTAAATCAATGAACAACCCATTCCTAAAATTACAGGACCAAAGTACCACCCATGTATATTTAACTCTGAATGTAAATGGCTTAAGCTCAATCAAACATCATAGATTAGTAGACTGGATTAAAAACAAAACCCATCTGTTTAGTGTCTGGTGGAGACACACTCCAACAAAGATCAGCGGAAACTACATCACATGGGTTTTGTTGTTTTCTGTTGGTTTCATCTCTTTAAACTTCTTCTGATTAAACACTTTCTTCTGATTAAATCATTCAATGGCGTGTAGATCATGCAGTGGCATCATTTTCTTCAAGAAGGTTCTTGATTTTCACTTCTTCAGCTACACATTAGACATTTAGTAGCATGTTATTTAACTTCACGGTGTTGTTAATTTCTTTTTTCTCCCTGATGTTGATTTTGTTTTGTGGCTTTTCATTTAAGGGGATGTATAGTAGCTGTGTAATGGAGACTGTCATATGTAGTCATGTTACTCAACTTCATGGCATTGTAAATTCTGATTTTTCTTTCTATTGTTGATTTTGTATCATGACTTTTCATTTAAGGGGATGTACAGTAGCTGTGAAATGGAGACTAACATCCAGATGTGAGGATGCAGTGTAGTATGCATTTCTGCTTCCAAAGCTGGACTTACAATGAAACTGTTTAGTATATCTTGACAATAGTATGCTGGACTCTCTGCCATTGTCCATGTCTGCAGTGATGAACATATGACTGAGTATGAAGAACTATATGTTAGTAATGATATAGGGGAACTTGAGGGGGGAGGTCTTTGGGGAGGGGATAAGGGAATATGGAACTGTATCATAAAATGACAGTAATAATAATAAAATGTAAAACAAATCTTAAAATAAATAAATAAATAAATTTCATGCTAACAGCCAAAAAAAAGAAAAGAAAAGAAATGACAGATCCACATAAGCACGGATTCCAAAGGGAATTCTGTATCAGCATTGAGGGCTGTGTACGGATGAGCGGATCCTGAAATGGGTCCCAGAGCAGGAAACACAGGCAGCAATTACTGGAACCCGCCTGGCTGGCACAGTGCGCCGGGCAGGGAAGGTGGCTGGCACACACACACAGTGCTTGGCAGGCAGAGGGAGAGGAGGGCCTGCAGGACTTGCTGCCTGCCTCCCGCAGGGGAGGGACTGCCAGGCCGCCACCTGCTGACTGAATCCTCCAGGTAAGTGGGAGAAAAGCGAGCATTCAGTGCTGGTTTTCTCTTCAAAAGCTTAGGCTCAACTGGCCAATTTTCTTGTTTTGTATTTATAAAGAAAAGCTATAAACAGGAAAAATATTACAACAGCTCAGTTCCTCCAAGCAACACACAATGGGAAAGTGCTTTTTGCAAGCTGGTAACCCCCGCCCCAGAACCAACCAGGTGTGCCCTCCGGAGCCCCCTGCTCAGGGTCCACTTGGCTGCCTCGTGTTCCTGAGGGGTCCACTCCCGTCAGGTTCTCTCGGGCATCAAACCAGCTGTCACCCATTTCTCGGTAATGTCTGCAGTCTAAAAGATTGAAGACAAAGAGGAGTTACTTATAATATTTAAGCTACTCCGGTAAGCTAGAATGAATTATGTCTGAACCACTTGATCGATATTAACAAAATACAATCAACGCAGAGCTTGTCTCTGAAGGCATTTTCACCAGTCCTTGAAACAGAAATTCTTCTCGGTCTAAGGGACTTGTGCCCTTTAATAAGACCTGTAACTCACTAGAAAGTTTACTTCTTTGATTACTGAATTGCTCGTTACTGAAGAAAAGACACTATTACTCTATACAAATGCAGTGAACATCTTCAAAGGGATTGAAGAGCTGCACTGGGCCACACTGTGGCATGGGGTTAAAGCTGCTGCCTGCAGTGCCAGCCTCCCATAGAGGCACCAGTCCACAACCTGGCTGCTCCACCTTCACCCAGCATCCCTTACGGGTGCCAGTCCACGTCCTGGCTGCCCCACCTTCAGTCCAGCTCCCTGCTCCTGGCTCTGACTCTGGCTTCAACCTGGCCCAGCCCTGCTCACTGGGCCATCCAAGGAATGAATCAGTGGGTGGAAGATCTCTCCCTCTGTGTAATTCTTCCAAATAAGTAAATGTTCTTTTATTTTTAAGGAATTACTGTATCTTTATTTCATTGATGACTTCTTTAATACTTTTGCATTGAGGGAAAAAGAGAAAAATATACACAATTTATAGACATACAGGTTATATGCAACAGACTTTTACATATTGGAAATGAGTGGAAGTATAAAGGTCGGTATTATAGCATGAGATTATCAGCTCTATGACTTTAAAGATGTCCAACACATAACCCAGGAATACACTTAATTGTGATCCCAAGAATGCCTTTCATCTGTGGGCTGGACATTTGGGAACGTGCTGAGGATACCCCATGGGTGCCACCCTGCAGTGCCTGGTTCAGGGCCTAGCTCTGCCTTGATGCCAGCGTCCTGCTGATGTGCACACTGGGAGGAGTGCTCAGGATTGAGTCCTACTGCTCCCAGGAGAGAATGAAATTGGGTCCCTGGGTGCTGTCCCTGGCTACTGCCCAGGACCTGTCTCGGCCCTGGCTGTCCCTGGCAGCTGGCCAGAACCTAGCTCAGCTCCAGCTGTCCCCAGTTGTCCCTGGCTGCTGGCCAGGACCCGGCTCAGCCCCGGCTGTCCCTGGCTACTGGAGGTATTTGGGGAGTGAAATAGAGCATTGATGTCTGCTGTTCAAGTAAGAACAGATGAAAAAACCATTTGAATTCCCTCCCCGCATGAAAGTTTATACGCATATTTACTTTGATTTAATGAGTTAACTGCACTGATTTTTGGTACTGACCTTCATCATCAAGTTTCAACTGACTAAATTCTACATTTATATCACCAGTTTCTAAACCATCTTTATTGGGTGATGTGTCTTGTTCAGCCAGTAAGGTCACCTGAGGAATAAAATAACAGAATAACCATAAGGACACACATTGCATAGACGACCAGGACTGAACCCTGCCCGCCCAGGCTAGACACAGCATGAGCATGGACCACCAGGAATGGGCTGTGCCCGCCCAGGCCAGCGCACGGCATGGCCATGGACAACCAGGACCAGGACTGAACTGTGCCCACCCAGGCCAGCACACACCATGAGTATGAACGACCAGGACCAACACTCAGCATGAGCATGGACCACCAGGAATGGGATGTGCCCGCCCAGGCCAACACACAGCACAGGCATGGGCGACCAGAACTGAGCCATGCCCCACCCCCCAGGCCGAAGCACAGCACAGGCATGGACAACCAGGACTGAGCCATGCCCCCCAGGCTGACGCACAGCACGAGCATGGATGACCAGGACTGAGCCATGCCCGCCCAGGGCCGACACACAGCATGGCCATGGATGACCAGGACCGAGCCATGCCCGCCCAGGGCCGACACACAGCATGGCCATGGATGACCAGGACCGAGCCATGCCCGCCCAGGGCTGACACACAGCATGGCCATGGATGACCAGGACCGAGCCATGCCTTCCCAGCCCAACACACAACGTGGGCATGGATAACCAGGACTGAGCCGTGCCTCGCCAAGGCCAAAGCACAGCGTGGCCATGGACGACCAGGACTAAACCTAAACTGACCCCTCTGCTCCCCTAACGAGTAAATGAGGGCACATCGCAAGCCAGCTGGGCAGACAGAACACACGTTTCTGACTATTACAATTCAGTTAAAATGAAAGATTTACACTAATGAGCTTTAAAATGTCTCACTTGTGAGAGTGTCTTTTTCAGGCTTGAGGGTACGTCACCTCCATGTGAATCCTGAGCACTTGGTGCCACGTCTGCCACTGGAGACCTAAACACATAAACATTCCATTAGACTAATGTTCTAAAACAGAACACTTGAAATAAACCAAAAGAATTAAGCATTTTTAAGACCCAACATATTTTAAGAGATGAAACCATAACTTACACCTGTGAGTCTTCTTTCATTAACTGAAAGAGAACAGAAACATCTTTGTTCAAAGGGTTTTACACCTGAGCGTGGTAAGCGTCCTTCCCGGGAGGTGCACATACCCTGGATGCAAAGGCCGAGAAGCCGGACAGCAGCTTGGACTCGATCGAGAGCGGCGGCAGCTCTTCCAGGGGAATGCCCTGCTCGACTTTGTCTTTCAAACACGCATATCTAACTTCCAAGGCTCCCAAAACAGACTGCAGGGCTGATCCGAGCTCCTTCCTAGCAGAACCACTTGGCAAATTCCTGTTCCAAAATTCAAAAGGCTAAGTTACTTAGGGACAAGCCAGCCATTTAACATTAACGCTTTATTATTATCCTTAGTTCTAATTCCATCGGTTCTTAAACTTTCAAAAAATCTTAAATGTTGAATAAAGGTGTTTTTCTAGAAGTACAATCATCCTTTCTATAAGCCGAGAATGCTGGAAATTTTCCGCAAAACCCTCTAATTTCTCCCTTAGCTGGAATTTAGAAACATCAAATCCCGTCTTTCTGCTAAACTCATCATGCCAACCCTGTGCTCATGTAGAACTTGTAAAACCCCATCATCCCTACTCCAGCTAAAACATAGCTACAACCTACCACTGATTTTGCCCTTCAAGAAAGAAAAATCGTGTTTAAGAACAAACCTAGGGGCCTACAACACGGTTCAACAGGCTAATCCTCCACCTGCAAGTGCTGGCATTCCCATACGGGCGGTGTTCCTGTCCTGACGGCTCCATTTTCAACCCAGCTCCTGCCTGCAGCCTGGGAAAGCAGTGGAAGATGGCCTAGAGTCTTGGGACCTCGCACCCACATAGGAGGCTCAGCCTTTGCAGCCATGTGGGGAATAAACCAGCAAATAGCATACCTTTCTCTCTCTATCCTTCTCTCTATAAATCTGCTTTTCAAATAAAAATTTTTTTTTCAAAACAAAGAAAACAAACAGTAAACAAAAGAAAACCATGAACAAACGTAAAGCCCTGGGAGGTCGTAACAACAGGCAGATGGCAGTGAGCCCGCACCGGCCGAGCGCTGCCCCCTTGTCGGTCAGCAGCCTCTGCAGCTCGCAGCAGTGGCGATGGCACAGCTGGTAATGGATGTCCAGGAGGTGCAGCTCAGCGCTCAGGGCTCGCTGCTTCATCTTCTCACAGCACACTGAGGGCAGAGTCCTCTTCGTGTCTTTACAGAGCTGAAAATCCCTTTACAACACAAGTCAGAATTAGGTCAGAGTCCAGAAAGTTTCTACAGAATTAACATATCTGCCAAAACAGATGTGAACTACTCCCTGCACTGGCTGGTACACACAGGAGTCAGGCCTGCGGGTCACCTCAGGTGAGGTTTCTTTCAGAACCTTAACTAAATCATTAGAAGCAAAACTCAACTATGGGGAGAACCCCAGAATCCGTGGTCTGACCGAGCACGTGTCAGAGCGGGCCTCCTTGCTTGCTGAAGACGGTGCAGTGGATGGCATGCCCAGACGCACGTGGGGGACATAACAGATCACTGGGGCTTGCAGAGGACAGCTAATACCATGGAAGGCTGAACAAACTGGGACAACTCTCCTGGTTGAGCTTCAACTGCAGGTGTCTGGCTGAGTGCAGACTGAGGTGAACTGTGTCAATGGACATGGGTGAGTGGAGGCTGAGGTGAACTGTCAATGGACCTGAGTGAGTGGAGGCTGAGGTGAACTGTGTCAATGGACCTGGGTGAGTGGAGGCTGAGGTGAACTGTCAGTCAATGGACCTGAGTGAGTGGAGGCTGATGTGAACTGTCAATGGACCTGGGTGAGTGGAGGCTGAGGTGAACTGTCAGCCAATGGACCTGGGTGAGTGGAGGCTGAGGTGAACTGTCAATGGACCTGGGTGAATGGAGGCTGAGGTGAACTGTCAGTCAATGGACATGGGTGAGTGGAGGCTGAGGTGAACTGTGTCAATGGACCTGGGTGAGTGGAGGCTGAGGTGAACTGTCAGCCAATGGACCTGGGTGAGTGGAGGCTGAGGTGAACTGTGTCAATGGACCTGGGTGAGTGGAGGCTGAGGTGAACTGTCAGTCAATGGACCTGGGTGAGTGGAGGCTGAGGTGAACTGTCAGTCAATGGACCTGGGTGAGTGGAGGCTGAGGTGAACTGTCAGCCAATGGACCTGGGTGAGTGGAGGCTGAGGTGAACTGTGTCAATGGACCTGGGTGAGTGGAGGCTGAGGTGAACTGTCAGCCAATGGACCTGGGTGAGTGGAGGCTGAGGTGAACTGTGTCAATGGACCTGGGTGAGTGGAGGCTGAGGTGAACTGTCAATGGACCTGGGTGAATGGAGGCTGAGGTGAACTGTCAGCCAATGGACATGGGTGAGTGGAGGCTGAGGTGAACTGTCAGTCAATGGACCTGGGTGAGTGGAGGCTGAGGTGAACTGTCAGCCAATGGACCTGGGTGAGTGGAGGCTGAGGTGAACTGTCAGCCAATGGACCTGGGTGAGTGGAGGCTGAGGTGAACTGTCAGCCAATGGACCTGGGTGAGTGGAGGCTGAGGTGAACTGTCAGCCAATGGACCTGGGTGAGTGGAGGCTGAGGTGAACTGTCAGCCAATGGACCTGGGTGAGTGGAGGCTGAGGTGAACTGTCAATGGACCTGGGTGAGTGGAGGCTGAGGTGAACTGTCAATGGAAGTGGGTGAATGGAGGCTGAGGTGAACAGTCAGCCAATGGACCTTGGAGGGGTTTCTGCAACCTTGGAGCAACAAAACCAACAGCATCCCAGAACTGACCCTGGGCTGACATCAAGCGGCCATCCCACACGCTTGGACACTAGTGCAGGTAGACTGCTGGGAGCAGCTCTCTCCCCCTCCTCCCTTCCCCCAGATACAGGAAGAACAGGAGATTGGAAGCAGTCATCTCATCCACTTGCCCCATTCCTGGGCCCTTCCCACCCTACTCAGTGGTCCACATGGGCACGCATCCTTCTCAACACGTAAACATCATCAAAAATCTATCATGAAAAACAACTCATTTTTTTGGGTCAAGTTTAAATTCTTACTAGGTAAAGCTATAGGAATAATAGCTTCTGAAAATAAAGACTTCAAAAGTCAGTTAAATGTATTTAATGAGCCAAAGAAATTTTTGAAAATCCTCAAATTCATATTTTAATAAAGATTTACTTATTTTTATTGGAAAAGCAGATGTATAGAGGAGGAAAATTTTGTGTCCACTGATTCACTCTACAAGAAGCCACAATGGCTGGAGCTGTGCCGATCCAAAGCCAGGAGCCTCCCCCTGGTTTCCCACATGAGTGCAGGGTCCCAAAGTCTTGGGCCATTCTCAACTGTGTTTCCAGGCCACAAACAGGGACTGGAAGCAGCAATGCTGGGACACAACCCAGCAGCCATATGGGATCCTGGCATGTGCAAAGTGAGGACTTTAGCCACTAGACTACCGCACTGGGTCCAAATTTATACTTTCTTTAACAGCAACAAAATCTTTCTAATTTAAGGCAGTAACTTCATTTATCCAGAATCAATGGATTTTTCAACCTAAACTAAGCTTTGGTCAAGAGCTTTTTTTAAAAAAAATTTTTTATTATTGATAGTGTTTACACAGTCAATGAGGGTGGGAAGGGTTGAGGATCAGGGGGCCGTGGGTGAGACCCCTGTTTACACATGTCCTTCCTGTAGCCAGGGGAGAGGGGAAACCACGCCCGGGCTCCTCACCGCTGCATTACCCCGGGGACTGGGGAACTGCCACCCGATGTCACCCCAGGGTCCCCACTGCGGAGCGTTTTCTGAGGGGTCTGTTCATGTGTTTCCCAGAGTTCTGAGATCCTGCTCATATCGCTGCTCCACGGATGAGAAAATCCTTCCGAGGTCGTCTCGCTGTCACACTCCACCTCCGAGTCTCCACTGGCCCAGAAATTTGCTGTCAAGTTTCACTGGGATAGTCGACCAATTTGTTTTACCCTCCAAGTCAATGGGTGCTGTGGTCCAGCCCAGCCCAGCCCTGCCCAACACGCACCTGGCCCTCATGTACCACGGGGGAGCTGCAGCCCAGCCAGAGTGACCCCCAATAACCCCCACTGGACCGGCCCCCCGCTCCTGTGCCTGCCAGCATGTGCAGTGGACTGGTCCAGTCTGCCCTAATCCCATGGAGATCTCGTGTCCATCACTGGACACTGAAGTCTAACTCAACCCAACTGACTCCACACTGCTTTAGTTAAAAATTGTTCTTAAATGTCTCATCACATATTGCTTACATCTTCCTTAGCAGCTGTTACATAAACAAACACTTTGCTGTGCCTCTTTGTTTCAAGGTCCTTCCTTATTGCTGGCTGCGACAGGTCACCTGCTTCTGGAACCCAACTCGGGGGATGCCACAGGGCAATGACTGGGGCTTTCCCTGTGCCCCTGCAAGCTGCTTTCCAACATACCTCTCCGGATGCTTCTCGAAGTCCGTGGTATCAAATGTATTCCTCAGTTCTTGAGAGTCCTGAAAGCAAGATTTACAATGATAGTGCCTCATAAGCAATTCATGTTCTCCTTGAAGCTCCAACCTTGTAAGATGTAGAACCCAACCCCAGTGAGCTCCGTGGGAACAGCTGCCAGCACATTGCTCTGCGAGCCACTTCTCACAGAAGCCAACTGCATTAACAGACACTCTATAAAAAGCCAAAGAAAATGTTATTAACCATATTTACTTTACCTTGTTTAGGACATTTCCATTAGGTTTTAAACTGCCCACTGAGGCCGATGTTCTGGGTCCTTCTGTGGCAGCCATGTGTGGCTCCTGACCGTACGACCACTCCGTATTGCACGCAACACTCCTTTGTGTCTCGCGGCGACATTCGCTAGGCCGCTTTTTGTTCATCATCGTGATGTCCGTGTTGCACGACGCTGACGCCACGCGAGGCCTGGCACTCGTGGCCCTGCTGGTTGTGAAGCAGGCCCTGAAGTCCGTGCTGACGTCCACTGTCTGGTCAACGGTGACCGTGTAGCTGACCACTCTTGGCCCAGCGAGGGGGCGTGCCCCTGCTGTGGCAGGACAGCAAGCTGTGCTGGTACTGCGGCTGCCAGCTTCTGGGGAGCTCGCCTCTCGCGCGGCCTGGCCGTGTCTGGCTGCACTCCTCGGCGCGCTGACAGAAACATCAGGGCCGCTCTGCACACTTCTGTACCGTGAATATTCACGGGCGGAAATGACCGACTCGTCCAACCTGAAGGTCCAGGAAGTCGGGTGCTCGTCATGCGGCTGGAGTGAGGCCTCTAAGGCTCTGGCCTGTGCCAGTGTGCTAGCATTTTCAAGGTGCTGTAAGAGTTTGTTTTCAGCAGTTGTGTTTCCACAAAAATTTATAATTTCAGTTATTTGGGCTTTCACTTTTTCAGCATAAATTTTCGTTTTTAATGTGTTTTGAGAGTTCAGAAAAGCAGTCTCAGATGCAGATGCGTGGTTTCCAAAGCTGCCTGCTGGTATGACGTCATCGCCCACCGCGTGCAACGCCGCACCAGTCTCCCGCGCCTGACACTGCTCATGCTTCTGTTCACGGCATCCTTTCGGCCTCGCAGCATCCTGAAAGGCGGAGCCACTCGGCGAGTCTTCCTGTTCGCAGACTTCTAGTGAATCTAAGGACAGGACAGAGCCTCTTCCCAGCCCAAGCACATGCTCTTCCAGAGGGCTGGCGCGCTGGGCCTCCCAACCGGAGTCCCCCGAGTTCAGCATGTGAGACCCGCACGGCCCTTTCGTCCTGTCGGGAGAGGCATGGTCGCTCACGCACTCTTCCACACTGTGGTACTCCTGCCGGGAGTCCTCCTCTGGGGCACGGCCCTGCCCGTCCTCGTAGGCTCTCTCTAAGCCGACCATTTCATCACCTTGATGTTCCAAAATATCAAAACATGCCTCCTTTCCTTTCTGCAGTCCAGGGTCTAATTGTAAATTCAACTGACGAGACCTTCCATTCTTTAGTTGTGAGTTTGAAAAACGTATAGAGTATGTTGCATTCAAGCAAATACACTCACTCTTGTCTTCAAACTCACTCAACTGAGAGCAAGTGCTTTCTGCGTCACTAACTTGACTCCCCAGAGAGGAGGGCTCTGACACACTGACTCTGTCTGCTCGCCTCATTTCTTTGTCGTCCCAGGCGTCACCAGGGCACGGCAATGTTGATGTGACTTCATTACAACCCCCAGAAGACAGTAACGCATCTCCTTTCTTTGTACAAGGAGCTCTGTCTGCTAAAGAAACAAAGAAATGTCCATAGCATTTTAAAATGTGGACACTAGGCAAGACCTGAGCCCTGGTTTGGTCCAAGCATCTCCCAGTGTCGGAGCACTCTGTACATTAGCCATGAAGCTACCCTTGCGGGAGCTCCAAACGGGGGTGAGGATCCCCACAACTCCCAAGTGGAAGCTCAAAGCCCCACAGTGTTGGTGCCTGGTGGCGGGGCCTCTGGTCAGACTGAGGCTGCCCACTTCCCCTAAGGTGAGGATACAGCAAGAAAACTGCCAGCCCCATGCACAGGATCTGATCCTGTGAGTATGGGGACCTCAGACTTCCATCGTCCCGCAGTGAGAAAAGCATCTCTTGTTGGAGCCATTTGGTCCACTGCATGCAGTGTGTCACGGAGACCACTGCAGGACACTGAGGCCCCGGCACAGCACACAGGTGGCAGGAAGACCACTGACAGCACGCTGAGTATCGTAACTATATGTCCAGATAGTCACATTTCACAATGGGGCTGGCATCCTGGCACAGTGTTCATACCAGCATCCCACACAGAGCTCTGGTTGGTCCCGGCGGACCTGCCTCCGACCCAGCCTCCTGTTCCTGCTACCAGGCATCCCACCCTGCTATGCTCTCTGTATCAGTCACAGGCTCTTACTCGTTTCTTCATTTGCCCAGTTTCAAGCCTTTCTGTTTAAGATGTGTCTCATGAACAACGCAGGGTGGGGTTTCTGTTCCAATCGAGGATATCTTAATAAAGTCACATGACTCACAACGGAAAAAGTGAGCAGCTTTCTATGTTCTGGTCATTTCTTATTTTCTCTTCTACAACCAGATTTGCAACAATCACAGCCTACATGTCTGTCTCTCACCACTGGCACCGGGAAGCTGTAGCTGCTGGCAGCCCTCAGCGGTGGCTGGGCAGGACCCTCTTCACTTCCTCTTCCCTGAAAGATCCTGTCCATTCCTTCCTATTCACTCATAAGCCTGCCAACTGGCCAATACTCCGAGTCTCAGCATATCACTGGGGGAGACGATCTAAGAGCAGCAACCCTGGAGAGAGAGCTGTCTACACCACCCACCTGGGCCTGCCTCCCGGGGGCTCCCCTCCTCCCACCTGGGCCTGCCTCCCGGGGGGCTCCCCTCCACCTACCTGGGCCCTGGCCTTCCCGGAGGTTCCCTCCACCACTGGGATGGTGTTTTCCAGAGATTGTCTCCATCACGGCCTTGGCCTGTTTGTTCAGGACTGTTATATAGTCTAGAAAAAGGTATAAACATAAAACTACTACAACACACATACAAGAAAAACTTGACCAAATAGTTAGAGATATCTAACATGAGATGGCTACTAAATAATGAATACAACGACCGAGTAACGTTTTTCAAAGCATAAATAACAGTTACACAAAGGGCAAGATGCAGTCTTTTTTTTAAGATTTAGTATTTATTTTATTTATGTAGAAGGCAGAGAAAGATTGATTTTATCCACTGGCTCACTCCCGAGATGGCCGCCACAGCTGTTGAGCCAGGCCCAAGCTGGCTCCCTTGTGTGTGGCAGCTGCCCAAGCACTTGGACCCTCTCTGGCCCCTCCCCAGGGGCACGGCGGGTAGGGGGGAAGCTCTGGCCCCTCCCCAGGGGCACGGTGGGGAGAGAAAGATCTTCCATCCACTGGTTTACCCCACAAGTGACCACAACTGCCAGAGCTAAGCTGATCCAAAGCCAGGAGCCAAAAGCTTCTTCCGGGTCTCCCAGGCAGGTGCAGGGTCCCAAGGCTTTGGGCCTTTCTCTACCACTTTCCCAGGCTACAAACAGGGACCTGGATGGAAAGTGGAGCAGCTGGGACACAAACTGGTACCCACGTAGGATGTCAGTGCATGCAAGGGGAGGATTTTAGCCACTGGGCTACTGTGCCAGGCCTTAACATTTTGTGGCTGACACAGAAACAAAACCCCAGGGAATTCCTGTAATCTGAGTGCTCTGGGAAACACCAGAGGCTGTGGGAAACAGGAGGCTCTAACTTAGGTTGTCAGGAAGGCCTTCCTGCCTCTTACAGGTAAGAACTGAAAGACTGACAAATGCAAAGGTACTTGAAAAATAGAATGAGAAGATGATTTTATTTTGGAACAAAAATGTGAAATTCAGGTATAGTATTTCATGTCACACGCTTTCATAAACTTAGAAAACATTTACTGGGTCCAGCTTGGTAGCCTGCTGGCTAAATCCTTGCCTTGCATGCACCGAGATCCCATATGGGCACCGGGTCATGTCCTGGTGGCCCTGCTTCCGAACATCCAGCTCCCTGCCTGTGGCCTGGGAAAGCAGTTGAGAATAGCCCAAAGCCTTGGGACCCTGCACCTGCGTGGGAGACCCCAAGGAAGTTCCTGGCTTCAGATTGGCTCAGCTCTGGCAGCTGTGGTCACTTGGGGAGTGAACCAGTGGATGGAAGATCTTCCTCTCTGTGTCTCCTTCTCTCTCTAATCTGCCTTTCCAAAAAAAAAATAAATAAATTAATAAATATTTTTTAAAAACTCATTTATTTCAGGCTGGTGCTGTTGCATAGTACGTTAAACCTCCATTTGTTGTGCTGACATCTCATATGGGCACCAGTTCAAGTCCCGCCTGTTCCACTTCCAATCCAGCTCCCTGCTGATGGCCTGGGAAAGTAGGAAAGGATGGTCTAAGTGCTTGGGCGAGGCAGAGTTCCATGTCGGGGCCATTTGCAGTGAGTCAGTAGATGCAGGTCTTGGCTCTCCCTCCCACCCGTGTGAGTATGGGGGGGCCTGGAACTTGAGCCACCTGCTGCTGTTCCACCCGCCCCCCCCCCAACTGGTACTTGTCTCGGAGGCTGGCGGCACAGGCAGCAGATCCACCCAGCGGGAACCTCTGAAAGCCCTTTGTGGGAGTTAGCCAAGGAGCAGTGACTCCCTTAACCCTGATCTTGACAGGAAACACACACTGCCACACACGATTGTTGAGTTTGAAGAGTCATTTTGAAAGCACGAGGCTGGCCTTGTGGCCCTGGGCAAAGCTGCCTCCTGCAAGGCCAGCACCCCCCAGGCGCACTGCCTCACCTCCAGTCCAGTGCCCCCAGCAGCCTGGGAGAGCAGAGGGTCCCAGTCACCCACCAGGGAGATCTGGGTGAGCCAGCAGGTGGGAGATCTGTCTCTCCCTCTTCACCTTCCTCTGTAACCCTTTCTGAATACACAAACAAACCTCAAACTACCAGTTTACAAAAACTGACATTAGATCAGTGGTTTTCTTACAGTATAGACTCAGAAATTCCAGACATTAAGAATATTCACCATTACAATGAACACTTGATTCAATCATGGACTCATTACTTAAAAGGCTTGTTATTTTCTTACTTGAATGCACAGCTAGGGAGAGGGAGTGAGAGAATGAATTCTGCACCTGGCAGTTCACTCTCTAGATGGAGTCACCACTGGGGCTGAGCCAGATGTAAGTCAGAGGCCTGGATTCCTCTGCACCCCCCACGGGCTGCTGCTGCTGCCCAGGCACGTGAGCAGGCACGGAACTGGAAGCAGGCACGGGAGCCGGAAGTGGGGCAGTGAGGCCTCAAAGCGGCGCCCACATGGCATGCTGCTGTCCAGGCACGTGAACCGGAAGCAGCCATGGGAACCGGAAGCAGCCACGGGAACCGGAAGTGGGGCAGCGAGGAACTCAAACTGGCACCCATGGGATGCTGCTGCAGGGCAGGTTTTTTTTTTTCCTAAGAGTATTTTTATTTAAAAGTCATAATTACAGAAAGAGGGACACACACAGTTTCCCGCCCTCTAGTTCACTCCCTAAATGGCTGCAACGGTCAGATCTGAGCTGGTTTGAAGCTGGGAGCCAGGAGCTCCTCACGCAACTGTCACATGGGCACAGGGGCCTAGGCCACTGGCAGGGCAGTCGGGACATGAACCGGTGCCCACCCGGTATGCTGGTCCCACCATGGGTGCAGGGGCCTAGGCCTGGCAGGGGGCAGTGCGCGCAGGGGCCTAGGCCACTGGCAGGGGGCAGTGCGCGCAGGGGCCTGGCCCACTGGCGGGGCAGTCGGGACGTGAACCGGTGTCCACACGGTATGCTGGTCCCACCATGGGCGCAGGGGCCTAGGCCACTGGCAGGGGGCAGTGCGCGCAGGGGCCTAGGCCATTGGTGGGGCAGTCGGGACGTGAACCGGTGTCCACACGGTATGCTGGTCCCACCATGGGCGCAGGGGCCTAGGCCACTGGCAGGGGGCAGTGCGCGCAGGGGCCTAGGCCATTGGTGGGGCAGTCGGGACGTGAACTGGTGCCCGCACGGCAGGCTGGCACCACAGGTCATGTGCAGCGTCACTGCGCTGGCCCCAGCAGGAAGCTGTTTATCATGATGCACCACAACACAGATCTCTAAACTCAGTATTTAAGTAACATTCTTTTAAAAGATGTATTTGTTTGAAGGGTAGAGGCACAGAGGTGACTTCCATCTGCTGGTTGCCTCTTGGGATGGCCACATCACTGGGTCTGGGCCAGGAGCTCCTCCTAGGTCTCCCACATGGGTGCAGTGGTTCGAGTGCCTGGGCCATCCTCCACTGCTTTCCCAGGAGCGTCAGCAGGGAGCCTGACTGGAAGTGAAGCAGTGGGGTTTTGAACCTGGCATCCATATGGGATGCTGACACTGCAGGCAGTGGTTTAACCTGTTACCACACAATGTCCATTCTTCAGCAACATCCTTAATTTAAAATGTTTTTTAAAAATTGGGCCCGGCACGATAGCCTATTGGCTAAAGTCCTCGCCTTGAATGCACCAGGATCCCACATGGGTGCCGATTCTAATCCTGGCAGCCCCACCTCCCATCCAGCTCCTTGCTTGTGGCCTGGGAGAGCAGTCGAGGACGGCCCAATGCCTTGGGACCCTGCATCTACGTGGGAGACCCGGAGGAGGTTCCTGGCTCCTGGCTTCGGACTGATGCAGCACCAGCCGTTGCGGTCACTTGGGGAGTGAACCACTGGATCCCTGGACAGATCTTCCTCTCTGTACATCCGAGTAGCACTCTGCTTCGCAGACGCGCTGAGTCTTTGCTTTCAGGTGTATTCTCACTCGTAACCGATTCTGTATTCAATGTGTGGCAAGCTGCACTTTGCAAAGCATATGTATGTAGGTACAGAGCTATTTGAAAGGCACTGTGCCAGGCAGGAGGGTACAGGGCCCTCAGCAGCCAGAGCCAGGGTGGGGTACACAGGCAGAGCACCCGATGGCCAGGGGGACACCACGGGAGAGAAGGCCAGCTTCCTTCTTCAACATGACACAAGGCAGACTGAGGGCTTAGAACGCCAGTACTGACAACCAACCCTACGAGGTGAGCAAAGGTGTGGAATAAACACACCCACACAGACGTTCTCATGCTCGGGAAGCTATCACTTCTAGGTCAATGCAAATCCAAACCACAGGGGCATCTTCAGACGCCCCACAAGTCAGCAAGTGAGTGCCCATCACCCAGGGTGGCAGCCTCAAGGTCACCTCGCCATGACCACGGCGCCCAGCACCTGCATCCCAAGCACCCATCGCCCTCCCTGCTTCTAAGTCGGCGAGGGGGAGGAGAGGAAGAGAAGTGGTGAGAGGTTAAGAGAGAGGAGAGAACTCCCGCTGCTCCACTCCCCGTTCTCCCCTAACGGCCTGCACTGTCCCCGCCGCCCGGCAGGTGCTCTCCTAGCTGATCCAGCACGGTGCTCCTCAGTGCCCAGGGCTGTCCTGCACGCTCTGCTGTGCCCAGCGGTGCCCGCGGGCATCACGCCCCGAGGCCCAGCACCCGCCGCGGGCTCGCGTGGCCAGGGCCCTGGAGGCCCTCCAAGAACCGCCCCCATCCCGCTCAGCCCCCCAGGACATGGCTGCGGTGGGAGGCCGGGCTGAGACTGGCCTTCCCCAGGCTTTCGTGGGGGACGGTGCTGGGGGCCTGTGAAGCCGGCCAGGCCCGCTGGTAACAGCGAGCCAAGGGCCCCAGGAACCCGCCACCGCGCGGCACCCGCTCACCGGGCCCCTCCGAGCCGAGGACACCGCGCCGTGGACGCCAGGCCGTGGACGCCTCACTGAGGATACCGAGGATACCGGGCCGCGGACACCGCGCCGTGGACGCCTCACTGAGGATACCGGGCCGAGGACACCGTGCCGTGGACACCAGGCCGTGGACACCAGGCCGTGGACACCACACTATGGACTCCGCGCTGAGGATGCCCCACCAAGGACACCACGCTGAGGATTCCGACCTGAGGACGCCGG